AAAAAAGACGAACCAAAAAGAGGAGAGGGAAAGGTAAAATCTAAATGCAGATTCTGCTGAGATGGTCCAGAAGGGACTGAACACTCACAAAGAGCTCCAGAACCACATCCTTGTTCTGTAGGACCCGCAGCCCACAAAGAGCAGGAACTCACAAAGCAAAACACCACGGAACAAAGTTATTTAATAACCGAACCCCCTAAGAACGGGTCACAAAAACAGGAGTGAAATCTCTGCCACGAGCCAGGCAGGCTGTTCTCCAGCCTCCTTTGCAGAGATTATCACGGAACAGGTTTCCCTGGGCAGCAGGGCTTTACAGTTCCCAGAAATAAACTCGAACAATTTGGCATTAATGAGACAAATGCCTACAGTTTTGAGTCAGTTAAATCTCATAACCATGGTGATAACGACCCGATTATAAGTGCACTGAGAACACAACTCCCAGCACTTCAGCAGGGCTGAATTCTTGTGATATCAGTGGGTAGCATTTCCCTGGGAAACAGCCTGCTTTTTGTGTCCAGCATAATTAAGCCTGTAGAAGACATTCCTATTAAAAGGGAAATGTGTCTCTGCAGAGCTTTTGCTCCTGGTGTGCCCTTTTACGTGCACAGAGCTGATATCCCTAACGCTGTGCCTGGGCAGAGCTGCCGTGCTGCCCTCACAAAGCACTGCCCTCTTCTGCAAGACTCCTTAAAAAAAGGCATTTGGCTTCTAAGGAAGAGAACTCAGCCAAAACAAAGGAGGATGAGACAACGTTGGTGGCTTCAGAATAGGCAGCCACATTTGTGTTCCCATAAACCTCTTCAATATTTCGAACAGTTAAATAATTATCTTCAGCAAACCCATCATATATACACGTGAGGGAAGAAGGTCTGTTCTGAACAACCAGTGCAGACAGAAGGCAGGGTGAAGTATGGAGTGGGGAGAAACCTGAAGTCCTCAGGATTCTCCTGAATAACATGCTGGTGGTGCTGCTTGAATTTGGTCATCTTAGAAGTCCTTTTCCAACTTTGATGATTCCACGACTGTCCCATGGACCTCACCCTCAGGGCTGGTCCTCCAGCCCCTGTTCCCACAGCCTGGAATCCCTGCACGTTCTGCAGTCACTGCTCATTTCACCTTAAAAAAAGTGATCAGATGAATAGGCACTAAATGTACTTTCTATTTAGATGTGGATCTCCTGCCAACTCTCTCCTTTCTTTTCCCCCAGGCTTGACAGTTTTTCACAAAAGCACCTTTATGCCAGCACTTCCCTTTGCCACACAATAGTCGCTGCTCTGCTGCCCTACTTATGTCATTGAATGTATTAAAAAACTCCCGCTAATTAGTGTGTAATTAAAATAAATCAAATTTTTTGAGTGTTCCAAGGACTGACACTTCTCCTGCTATGGGCTTTTCTGAAGGAGGTACAGACAAACCAGCAGCATTCACAATGTTAGGGGTTGGATTCCTGTTTTCAACATCATTTCATTAATTGCCAGCATTCTAAAACAATACCTCACAGGCATGTAATGCTTTCAGCACATTTTCTACCAGAAACAGGGCTGATGTTTCAATTTGAAGAGCCCACTAACTCAGGAGACCTGGAAATGCTCCCACTGTATTTTTCTGTCATCTGTAAGATGGAACAGGAACAGTAAACTTGATCTTTCTGCAAGAGAAGTAATTGCAAAATTTCCATTAACTTCATTAGAAGAGGAATAATGACTTCTTTCAAGTTTTTGGGCAAGGAGACAACTTTGAATTTTACCAAATGCAACACTTAAGCTTCCCAAGAGATCAGTCTAATCCTTCCATTCCCTCTCCTTTGTTTCTGTGCTCTCAGGAATTTACTGTGAACCAGACTGTTCCATTACAATGAGATTGAAACGTATTCTTACAGAAAGCATTAAATACCCCAGAAATCAGAATACTCTGGGAGCCAGAAATAACCTCACACTGCTTGAATTCTTCTCTCTTGTTACATTTGTTAAAGAATATGATGATTTATTTTTTTTTTTAAGGCTGTTTAGGTTCATGTGGCAGGGAGCAACCAGCTCTCCACTCAAGTCTATTCCCCACTATCACAGAGAGTGATTTATTGCCTGTAAATTCCCAGAGAATCCCCAAGAACACTGAAACAAGTCTGGCATCACAGCCACAGCTTTCCCCTTTTCCAAGGGCATTTTTAATCCCTTTCCTGTGAGATGCCACGTTCCCCGTGCCTCCTTCTGGAATGAGACCAGGAAGTTTGCAGGAAATGAGGCTGCTGGAAAACCAGGCAGGGCAGTGTTGCCAGAGCCTTTATTTCCTGCATTTTCAGAAATCAGAGGTGCACCAGCCTCGCAGAGAGAAGGAGGGCAGGCACTCTCTCTGAAAGAACAGGTTATCTCTTTTAATTAATCTTGAAGAAGAGGTGACAGTGAAGTTCCTTTATGGACAAGTAGCAGAGCTGGCAAAAATGTAATAAAAACGGACTATTTTGTCTCAGTTTCCATTTAGCTGTTTCTGCTTGCTCATATCTTACTTAAATTAACACTAATATTATTTTTTCACCGCTTTTATTGCCTAAAGAGAGAGCTGAGCAACAAACAGTAAATGAAATCTATATATTCGGTTCAAAAGATAAAATTAGAAACAGAGAGGACAGTGCAGATACAAATTAAAATCATATTTCATGTTTATAAAAACTTCAAGGTATCTGCAGAAAGCAAAAGCAAAGCTGCCTACTGAAGCAAAACCCAATCCCTAACTTTGCACCCTTTTCCCAAACATAATTCCATTGCTATATGAAGGACAAAGACCTCCAAAGGAATTTTGGGGCACAGACTGTAAAGGGAGGCCATCTTCTTACCTCTAACTACAAATTCATAATAATACTGCAGTTGAATGAAAAACCTATTTTTTTTTAAGTTGGGGAAAGTATGAAGAAAAAAATATAGTCCCTCCCTAATTAAAATGAAGAGTTAATTTGTGGAAGAGTTAAAATGTTCCTTTTCTTTGTGAAGTATCAGGAAACAGATCATGTTGGTAAATATAAAAAAATTAACTTTAGATCATTTGGAAACATTTTACCTTCAAAGGGGTCAGTTTCAGAAATTACATCTACATTATTTTTTAAGAGGAAAAAAATAGGAAAAAAAAACTTATGCTAATGAAAACGTGTGACAGGTTAACATTAGGTCCTAAAAATAACCCATTTAAAGACCTGAAGCTAAAAAATCACAATGATAAGGGCAGGTTAATTAAGAACTCAATTTTCCATGGAGATCCTGCCTATGATTATATGTTTCTGTGCAGTTCTAAAACAGAGAAATAATTCTCTGGACTATTTTCGAGCATTGAGAGGCAAAAAGCAATTCTTTAATGCAGCATCGATGGTGCCCAAAAATACACTGCACCCCCCGACTGCAGAGGCTTCTGCAACTTCATACAATCATCTCATTGCAATAGTCCAGTTTCTAACTACAATATTTGGGCATTACCTCATCTGTTCCACCCACTACCAAAACCGAATGTTAAACTAGCATTTTTAGAAATCTTGCACAAAGGTGCAAGTGGCGACCCAGCAGGACATTTTTCATCTCTGTTTTATTTTCCCATCCTCCAGTCAAACTCCCCCTCATGGGGTTTTTCATTCCAACCTCTCAAAAGAAATCCCAGTCCTGTTCACTCCTCTCTGCTTGCCTCACATACCTGTTTGATTTTTTTTTTTTCTTTTTTTTAGGGATTTATTTTTAGGTTGTATCCTCATTACTTCCCACCCATTTATTCCCCCTGGTAAATGACTGCAACACGTTTGCCCTTTCTGTCTCGCTGGTATTGCCAACTCTCCATTTATAGTTTTGCTAAACTGTTATTTTTATGCTGCTGGTTTTAATGCTTTCCTGCACATTGGAAGACCTACCTACAGAGTCAGCAGCTACAACTGATCTATAATTTAACCATTAAACCCCTATCAGATGTTCCAGTTAAAGGGAGTTCAGCTTGGTGAAATTTGCATTAGGAAAGAAAAGCAATTCAATGCTGAAGCTCCAAACTCCATTTCATACGGATGATTCTCAGTGGTAAATGACTAATTCAGCTCTATTTTTCTCTAACTTTGACTGATTATGTTGTTACACGATGACTGTGTAGGTTAATCTGCGGTGAAAGCAAATCTTTGCCTTTAAATCCCACAGACTTATAAAAAACCATGGAAAGCAGGTCCGAGACTGGAATCTGATGCTCAAATGCTGCAGCAGTAAATATGGATATCATGCATAGGGCATGGCCACATTTATATGAATCTTACTCAAACAGGGCCAGTAGGATGGACAGACTTGTTCACAGAACCACGGAATCATGGAATTATGGAATCTTCGAATCCCAGAATCACAGAATTGTGTAATCACAGTATCACAGAACAACAGAATCACAGAATCCTAAAACCACAGAATAACTGAACCACAGAGTCATGGAATCACTTAGGCTGGCGAATACCTCTAAGACCATTGAGTCCAACAGTTCCCCCAGCACTGCCAAGGCCACCACTAAACCATGTCCCCAAGTGCCAAATCTACACACTTTTCAAATCCCTCCCGGGATGGGGATCCCCTGGGCAAATTCAGCCTGTGCCAGGGCCTGAGAGCTGTATAAACTACAACACATTTAAGATTCAGAACCCAAATCTCTGCCACTTTACCAAGTAAACGTATGTGTTGCTTTTTTATTATTTGATAGGGAAAAAATAATCCTCAGATATTTATCTGCAATTGCATTTGAAACTCCAGTCAAGGACCAGTATCAAATAAGCTGAAGAGCTGGGGGCAACCTGGGCTGGTGGAAGGTGTCCCTGCCCATGGCAGGGGGTGGCACTGGATGGGCTTTAAGGTCCCTTCCCACCCAAACCATTCTGGGATTCTATAATTTCAGGGTTTATCTGCAACAGTTTAAACTCCAGGGGTCAGAAGAGAAGAAAACTTGTTCCCATTTGCCATGTTTAATCTTCATATTGAAATTACTCACAGCACAAAAAATTCTCCCAGGTTCTCTCTGTTGCTACTCCAGCTGCTAAGTCTGGAATGCAGAACCATCAGCCTTTACAGCCTGGCTTCAGACAGAAGTAGCTGAGGAAGCACCAGGTAAGAATGAGTGGGAAAGGAGGCATTTTATCTGGGATATAAACCTCCTCTGTTAGGACAACTTGCTGCAAGCCTGAGATGAGGGTAAATACACCTGAGGGCATATTTGATTAAGACACAAGTATTCACACAGTTCCACCTGGAACTCTCTGCTGTGAGCCAAACAACCCTTCTAATTGTCAATTATAGGTATATAAGTAAAAATCACTTTTCGGGTAACAATTTTTGCTGCTGTGATAATAAGCACTGTTATAGATAAAATAGAAATTACTGGGAAAGTCAGGTCAAGAGGAAAGAAGCAGATTTGCAAGTGAAGAACCATATAATAGAGAAATGTTTGGTTACAAAGAAACCTTAGGCTCCTAATATTTTTTGCCAAAATAGCATAAATTCCCCTTTTTATTCCCTCTGAGACCAGTTGTATTCCAGATAATTCTATTGCCTGTCTGGCAGAGCTTGGAAGGGAGAGCTGAATCCAGGTTTCACAGTTCAGTCAAAATGTATTGGAAATGAGAGGTGGGAGCTGTGCTCTGTATCCAGAAGTCTGATCTTTTAGATTTGGTCTGCCAAAATATATGGGGAAAAAAGATCATTTCTTTTGCACCTGAGTCCTGTCAAATATGCAGAGTGAAGTGCAGAACCCTGAGATGGTTTTGATTCTACTCACCCTTAAATGTAGGAACTTGTAAGGTCAAACACTCAAAAAGTCTGAATCCTTTCAGTGAATGAGAACAGGGAAGATGCAAGTACCAAACCATGTTTCCATCCAAACACAGAATCATGGAATATCCTGAGTTGGAAGGGACCCACAAGGATAATCCAGTCCAGCTCCTGGCCCTGCACAGACATCCCAACAATCCCACCCTGGGCCTTATCCCTTATATCCCTTAAATTTTTAAGGAACACTCAAATGAAAGAATATCTCTCTGTCCAAAACTGCATCACATCTGAGTGGCATCTTCAAATCAGCTTAAAGTCTTACTCAGAACAAGAGCAAAACTGAATTAATAAATTTGCTGTGTTTGATTAAATAATAAAAATGTTCTTAACTTCAAATATATTCATAACTTCAAATGTAACTCATGTATTTCTGAAAATTTACAGTAACAGAGACCATCAGAAAATTGGAACACAAAGAATTCAAACATAAAAGCCACTTTGAGAGATAGGAATTACAGCTGGGTGGGAAACTCCTGCAGATACACCCAGATCCTCTTATTTTCATCAGGAAAACACCAGATCCTCCCCACTGCAAATCAACATTGCATGGGGTGGAACATTGTGGATTTGCACCATGGGCATTGCCACGTTTTTACCCCTGGCACTGAGCCTGGCTCATCAAACACTGCCCTTGGACCTCGGCTCGTTCACCACCCAGAAAGCCTCGTGGGTGAACGAGCTGAGTGCTCTTTGGAAAGCTTTGGCCAATAACTGAGGGATCCTCAATATTGTTGCTTCATGAGCAGCACAAAAAGAGATATCTGAATGTACAGAATGTCCAGACTGCTCTTAGAATCAGGCTCTGCAGCAATGTGACTGCTGTGCCCAGCTGGCAAACCCTTCAAATCATCCTGATTCGTGGGAACAGAAAGACCTATCAGATATCAAGATCTGTTCATTAAAACATACATGAATGTGCCCTACTATATGGGTCTTGCATTAATACAGATTTTGCAAAAGATGTTTAGAAATACAGGATCTTGTCCAAGGGTTTTATTCATTTCTTTCTAGTCCTGACATAGATGAGACAACGCCGAGGGCAAAGAATGATGGATTATAAGGGTAAGAGCATTTCTCCCACCAAAAAAACCCACCAGAAATAGAAAGAGCTCGAGCTCCTGTGAGCAGGAGAATTTAGGGAAAGAGGGAAGTTCAGAAGGAAAAAGAGGTAACATATGAAAAGAGAGCAGCACTAATTATCAGGACTGCAGAGTCCTTGTGGAGTGAAAGGACTTTGTTCTGCTCAGAACTGAAAGAAACTCGACCACCTGCAGGTTTGGTTTTGTTTCCATGCAGACTACCATATAAGTTAGGGCATTTCTGGGTATCCAAGAGTCCATGATGTGGGAGGTGAAAAAGCTATTGACAGGAATTGTTTTCAATTAAATGCTGTGCAGAAGTAAATATGTGTGAATTCATGTTTGTCACTCTACGTTTTCTTCGTGCCCTTTTATTTACCAGGAAGTTTGTCTTGCCTGGAGTGCCCAATCCTTTCTAAGCCATTACACTGTGATAGCAGGACAGAACTTAAATCACACGTCACAGACTTGCCAGTTCTGTATATTTGCATCAAGGAAGGGCAGGTCCTCCCCAGCGGGGACCAACAGCAAAGTCAGCAGAGCAGACCCACACCTTTTAGCACCGTCCTTTAACCAGGGCTGTAAATTGCTGTGCTTGAAGGAACATGGGCTGTTTATTTCTGACAGTGATACACAGGGCTCACTACTGCTGTGAATGGCAGATCTCAAACAGGGAGCCAGAGTAAGAACACGGCTCTTAAATGGACTAAAACATGACAGGGAAAATGTTTTACTGGTGCTCTTCAGAGCACTTCCTCTGTTACTGTCAACTTATTTTTACACCTTAATGATTTCATGAGAAGTTGAAGGAAAAACATGAAATTTCTTTTTCAAGGCTCGAGATACTCCTGGAGAAGATACAATTAAATTTCCTTGCAAATCTACATGTTTAGTGGGACACTGCATACCCATATCCTCCATTTGGTGGAATTTTTTTAATATGTTGGAAAATTATGAACTACTGTAACGGTGGCCCAAAGGGGGGGGGGGGTGTTATTATTTATTTTTATATTACTCCTAATAGAAATCAAAGGAAAACCACCCAAAGGCCATGAAATGCACGAACCCTGGGGACGAGAGGGTTAAATTACTTATCTACAGAGATAATGAGCAGTATTTTGATAGATTAGGGAGAGATAGTTGAGGCTGAACTTCGAAATCCTGAAGCACCTTGTGAAGGGTCTACAAGGTAGAAATGATGGTGAACTGGAGAGGACAGCAATGATACAACTCTCCGTCTCAGTTACCTGTGAAGGATTCTCATACAAAGGATATTTTTAGGGTTTTTTCCCCCACTAAGTGGATATATTTGAAGAGGATGATCGCAAATTGAATCCTAAACTGTAACACCAAACATGTAGAAGTGGGCAAAAAATTCTCCAGGAAAAATAACATGTACATGGAAAACCTGGCACAGCCTTTTATTGCTCTCTACACTGACTTCTTCTGCCTCAGAGTCTCTATTCCTCTGAGATATTCCTCCTAATCTGACCTTTGTGTTCATACAAGCTGTTGATACACGATACCTCGTATTTCTGCGAGTTCAGAGGCAGCGAAATGTTCCGTGAATTTTACAGTCCTTGCCTGACATTCTCTGACCTGCTGACAGGCAGTAGCTGCCAATTAGAGAGCGGAGGACGAGGCAGAGTGCTCGAGTTTCTCAACCCAGGCAGAATAAAGATCAAATTAAAATCCATACAAATCTGAGTGCCTCCAAAGCCGTGCCGGAGTGCTCTGCTCTAACTGCACTGTTCAATATGTTCACTGCGGATCTCTCAGCATTAAAACCCTTCTCCATCTTCTGGGTTTATTTACTTTGGTTTCAGGGGTTTTGAGGGGGGAAGGGTGGGGGGGGGAAGAAAAAAAGAAAGAATATGGAACATTTAAGGAGCTGTGATATGAATTGTTTACAGGTTTTTGACAACTGTGATGGCAAGTGTTGTGTGAGGGCTGTTAAGGTCTCTGGTTTACATATGGATATTTATAGCCTGCTCGGGGTTTGGCAGTCTTTATTTCCCTGGATTTTTTTTTTTTATTTTTTTTTTCACTCTTCTCTCTTGACTAAACTAAATAACTAATGTACCAGACTCCTTCAATTTGTTTTGTTTTATCATGCCACAGGATCTATCCTGTTTCCTTGCTGTTTTGCGGCGTTGTTTTGGTTTTGGTTTTTTCCTAAGTAAAGAATAATTATCTAAAATCTCTCCAAAAATGCATATCCCAGCATCTCTATTATGTGCTGTTTTGTTGGTTTGAAGGCACCCCACGCTCTGTTCTTAGAATCATGGAATCATAAAATCCAGAACGGTTTGGCTTGGAAGGGACCCTAAAGACCATCTCATTCCACCTCCTACCACGGGCAGGGACACCTTCCACCAGCCCAGGTTGCTCCAAGCCCCGTCCAGCCTGGCCTTGGACACTTCCAGGGATCCAGGGGCAGCCGCAGCTTCTCTGGGCACCCTGTGCCAGGGCCTGCCCACCCTCCCAGGGAAGGATTTTATCCCTAATGTCTAATCTTGTTCAGCTTAAAGTCATTACCCCTTGTCCTGTCTCTGCTTGCCCTTTCCAAAGTCCCTCTCCAGCCTTCCTGAAAGCCCTCTTTAGATCCTTTAGGTTTTCTCACCCTTTCCTCTCACTGTCTCAAACAGTGAGGGCCACATTTTCCCAGGAATTGGGTTGCTTTACCCCCTGAGGAGTTCACCTCTCCGTCACCTTTCAGAGAAAGCAGCCCTGGAGATTCAGATTAATTAAAACTCAGCTGGCCAAATGACTTAAAGCTGTTCTTAATATCATCACCTTAAATTCCTCAATAAGATATGGAAATAACCCCCTAACCTTTACGTTTAGCGTGCCCATAGAATTAGTTAACAATCCACACAGTGGCAGTGTCACAAGATTTCATTATGCCTGTGATGAATTTAATCCAAAGATCTCCAACAGCTTCCAGAGAAAAATCTGTAAAACCTCCTGTATTTCATTTTCACAGTGAGACAAACACAAACCCTGTGCTGTGCTGTGGAAGATGGTACAGAGACTTCTCAGCTACCTGAAGGATGATGCCCAGGTTCTAACTTGCAGGTCCCTGGTCTCCTGGTAAGATCAAATAATGACCCAAATTTAAATCTTAAATTCACACCCAGCCATAGGAATAGTGATCTGGGTTTGTGAAGCTCTTAATATTGGGTGAAATTTCTAAAGAAACCTGCAAAAGTGTTCGATTCTCACGGAAATTTCACAGCAGGCAAAGGAATCTGAGATCACAATTTCTACGGATTTCCTAATTTTCAACTCCCCCTTTGGAAAACTTCAAGCTTTGGTCTCGTCTGGAGGCAGCTCTGATCTCCCACGGAAGTGGACAATTTGGAATTTCTTAACGGTCTTGAACAATGCCTGTCCTTGAAAACCTGTCCCGAGGTTTTCCTAAAGTCAGGTCACCAAACCTCCACAACGGGGAAGCCCCAGATTTCTGAAAAGGGACAGGAATTCCTGTAATTCTTCATTTCCTGGGTTTGTACAGTTCAATATACATTTACCAGTCCATTTCTTCAATAGAGTCAACACACACCTGCTATCACAGGGCTTTCCAGCCCAACGTTTCTAACTGTGATTTTACAACACAAATCTGCTGCTGGGCAAATCTTGTTTCTCGGTTTTTGGTTGTTTACAAGGTTTCTCAGCTGTACAGCCTTAAATTCTACCCACAAACTCGAATGGATAAAGTGAGGGCAGGAAGGGTTCAAGATCTGGATTTCAAAAGCTTAAAAAAAATTAAAAAAAAAAAAAAAATTGGCTGTTTGCACTGTTTATACAAAACTGTGCAAACAATTGAGATTTTGAATTTGCCAGAAATCTGACAAAAGCACATGGCTTTACAGTATTTCAGTATTTCTGCTTTTGATTACAGCAATTATTGAACCTACAGAAAAGCACATTCAAATAAAATAAAAAAAAAAAATTGAAGTAAGCAAGCTTTTTCAGCCAAAACAAAGAAACGAAACAAACAAACAAACAAAAAATCTGTATTTCAGGCTGAGTTTTGAGTGAGAAACTAATTTCATTACACTTAAGTTTCCTCTCTAACAGCCCACCATGAGTCATTCACGGGTTAATTATAGATAATCAGATATAGTTACCATCACAATAAGCCCTGTTCTTTGTAATCGAAAGTTTTCAGAGACAACAAAATGCTTAAATCTCTCATAGCAAAGGGAAAAAAAAAAAAAAGAAGTGTTTGAGGGAAAGTAAAAAGCAAATTGCACAATAAAATTTAATTGAAATTAGAGGGCACATTCTCAGGGATGTTTATTCTTTCTCACTCAGATGGAATAAATGGGCTGTAATCTGGCTGTAAATAGCTGGTGGAAAATTCAATTTATGCATCTGTTCTTCTGTTGCCTCCTGCTCTTTTGTTGCACTGTGGCTGTCCCAGAACTGTTTTGGACCCTAAAATGACATGTATTCTGCGTTCACCCATCCCAGCTCCCGTGAAAGGAGATGAATTCCGGGCTGGAAGGTGATATCCTCCAAAAGCCAAACACTGGAATCCTCCAAGAGACAAACACTGTAACAGCCTCCCTTTATTAAGGGCCGTGTTCGAACATCACCGCATTTCCAATTTTGCAGAATGCAGGGAGAGTTTGCAGCGATATTTAATTTACTGTCTAACCAGTGTTTGGGTTTATGTGCTCTGCACAATTGCTTGGCCTTGGTGCAGAAGCTCCTTTCCCATCCCTGCATCTGAAAGGGAATTTTCCTGGGAAAATGCTTCTCCAAGGAGCACGCAGACGAAGCAGTGACGGACCTGGAATATTTCAATCGACAGGGACACCGGGATGTACCTGGGTGGAAATGTTCATGCAAATGAGACACAGCCCTCGGGAGCTTCCAACGAGGCCCTTGAGGCTCCAAACTGTTGATTTAGCACATCAGCCCAAGGCCTTACACTAAAATGCATGAATTAATACAGTACTGAAAAGAATGTAGGTTCAGGGACTGTTAAGTAAGTTAAATATTGATACAAGCTTTGGGCTTCTCCCATGGACATTCTGATTTCCAGTCAGATAATGCTGTAACAGGGTGATGTTACCTCTTTAAATGTGGACTAAACAATGTATTGTCTGGGTGATTAATGCCAAGCCTCAGTGCTGCTTTTAGGGATAATTATGTCACGGTAACAAACTTGATTACAGGCAGATTTGATTAGCAAACTCGATTCATCAAATTCATCTCTCCCACTCCCTTCCTCATACTGCACATTAGCAGCTTTTGCTATGAATAGTATAGCTTTCCACTGGATAAATAAAAACTAACTGTGAAGGCTTTAGTGTTAATTCTCACTTTCCTCTTCTTAATGCTTTCCTTTCTCTGTGAAAACTTCATTTTTTGATAGAAAAGCTTAATTATAAAACTTATCAAAATATTGCCTTCCTGCATCAGTCCCACAAAACAATATATCAAGACTTGTGAGAAGAAAATTCAGCCATCACATATCTCAGTGACTTCGAAAAAAGAAGATAAGAATTTCTCCAGTGTTAATTGTTTCAACTCCATAAGGGAGAAAAAAATTATTCATTACATGTTGCTTTCTAAAGAGACGTTCTTAGAATTTAGGAAAACAGACATTTCTTGCTGATTTTACTTTTTTTTTTTTTTTTTCCCCAGAAGACTAATTGAGCTTGATCACTCTCACTCAATATTTGATGCCTTGTTGATTGGGCTCTGTAACTCAGAGACTTAATGGATCTCATTCCATGTCCCATCTGTAAAGACCTTAGACCTTAATCTATTAAGGAAGAATTCATTAGTCTGAGAGGATGGAAACATTAGGAACTGAGTGGCCAAACCTGGACATAGCCCTGATTTGTGAGTGGGGGAGTTGCTCATCCTCTTCCCTGTGCTAAATAAAATCTATCCCTGGGGGTGCTTTAAGGCAACTTCAAGACTCTCTTCTACTGCTGAACGCTCAGATTCTTTTTTCTCACTATTTCATGGTGCTGTAGATGAGATAGTCTTTCTTTCCAAACTGTTATTTTCGCAGTTTTTGTTGATAAATAAATTAAATTTTGTTGATAAATAAATTAAATCTTACTAACACGTTCCTGGTTTACACTACCCAAACAGACAGCCTAAAATACAGACAAACCAGGAGAAACAAAAAAAAAACCACAAGAAAAGAAAACAGAATGAATGTGGCAATTTGCTTAGAACATACTCTGGGGGGTTTATAAATATTATCCTTTTGCTATTTAGGAGGAAACCTGCCATTTTTTTCATAGAAATAGAGAAAGAAAGAGGTGTGACAGTGATGTAACCTCACCTGAAAAGGGAGTCTTAGACAGACTTGGGGAAAAAAAAATAAGAAAGAAATATTTGCTTTGGGTGTGAGGGGGACACTTCTCCCTGTAAAGGCACTTCCAGGGAACTAAATTCATATTTGCTTGACTAACAGCTGAGGTAGTTGGAAATTACCTCTGGCTTCAGGTGGTGTTTAGTGAAGATCTTGGTTAACAGTGGAAGGATCCAGTGGGCAGAAAGGATTCTAAATCACATTTCACATTAAGACTTTCTTTATTACCGTATATTCTAATGCAAGTTAAAATTTTATTTGCTCTTCAGTGCTGGAAATGGACTGATAGAGGTTATTTCAAATAAGCAACGTGAGGTTAGAGAGCTGCTCCAAAGGAAAGTTGTTGCTTTATTCTGTAACTGGGGGGACTCTGATCTTAGCCAAGCATCCTCCTCTGAGGAGGCTTCCTATGAGTGACCTGCAGAATCTGTGTCTAGACAGGATGTTTTCACTGACAAACTGAGCTGAAAGAAATTCCTGGCAGAAAACAACACCTCTCCACAAAGCTGTAGAGCCGAGAGCTCCAGATCGTTCCAAAGGTCAGTAAAAAAAAATAATAATAGTAATAAAATTAATGTTTCAGGCAGAGGAGTAGAATAACTAAATTAAAAAAAAAAAAAAAAAGGGAAGAAGATTAAGAAAAAAAGAAAAGAAGGAGGAGAAATGGAAATGTGGCTGTAAATGCAGTTACTGAGCAGACACGTACGTGAGGTTGTCTCAGTGACCAAACATACACATAAAACATATATAAATAAAGGTGTATCAACCAAACTATGTGTCATTCATCAAGACTAATCTCTTTGCTGCATCTTTAGACCCTGTTCTGAGCTGCACTGGTGGGCAGGTCCCTACCTTGATGGCGGTGGAGGCGATCTGGATGTGGTGCAGCCGGCGCAGGGTGCTGTCCCTGTCGATGAAGTAGGAGGCTGCCAGCTGGTGCAGGGTCTCCAGGGTCACGGCAGAGCTGTTGGTGCCGGGGTCTGTCCCTTCTGACCTCTTGCTCAGCTTCCTTTTGTCCACAAAAATCGTGAGTGACTCCTCTCCTGGGAGGGGGGAGAGACAGAAAGCCCGGCCAGCCATCAGCAACACCCAGCAGGTAACCCACAGAGCTTCAGCCTGAATCTCATCAAAAATACATGTGTTACGAGCAATCCTGTGCTTTCTAATCAATTCAACAATGCTAAAATGCCTGAAATGTTATAGAATACTTGTCCTAAACCAAACTTACACAGCTGAAAAGTGTGGTGTCTTTGGGAAGTTCGTGCTTTTCTGAAAGCAAAGAGAAGATCCAGCGCCTTCTGTGGTGGATTTTTCACTTCCTCTCTCTTTACAGAGACGTGGATCAACACTGTTGGATTCAGAAATTTTAATTTCTGGAGGGTTATTGAAAACCAAAAATCTGACTCGCTTGACTGAGTTAGTTCTTAGGAACCCTCTCAGATTAGACCGTCTGATGCTGACCCATTTTCCACATTTATTGTCCAGTTCATGAATATTATTTTTTTTCCTGTGTTTCAGGCTAAGCAAACATTCATTCATTTAGCAAAGTGTTTAGGCAAAACTCCTGACTTCAGAAGAAAAAAAAATTAGAAGGGCAATTTATTGACGCAGTATTTTCTTCTGTGCAATTTATGTCTGAAGTAACTACAAAACCACTTTTCTCACTTTTTGGGGCCTCTGTTTGGTAACTTGCATTCTTCGAAACTGAACTCAGAAACGGATTAATAATGCCATTATACCTGTATTTTAGGTGCTGAACAACCCCACTGAGTGCAGTTTCCTTGTTCCTGGAAAGGAAGTTACCCTGACAGGGTCTGACTTGCCACTTGTGCTCATTTCACTGCTCGCCCATCTGCTACAGTGGCACCGTGCCCGTGCAGGGGGGTGGGATGCCAGCTTCACATGAGCTTACGTGCCAAAAAGTAATAGCTGGAGGGGGGATAAGATGCAGGATGAAAACATGACATCATCTTCAGGGGGAGATAATCCTCCCTCCTCCATGCAGGGGAGCACATCTGTCAGCAAAGCCTGGCTCACAGAGCTCCTTTGTCTTTGATTAACACGAGCACATACTCCTCTTTCCCCAGTGCACCTTCTGTGCTTCCCAACCTCTCAGAAATTCCGAGGACAGTCAGGCCCTTCAGAGCCTACACAGCCAAAACTGCCATTACCCAGGAGCCTTTTATCTGATTAGCCCTGCAGGGCTTGTCCAGTCTGTTCCTTTTGTCCTGGAAGGGACAGCTGTGCCCAGGACAGGTGGCTATTCCAGCTGGAGCTTCCCTCACTTTCCAACCACTGCACTCACACTTCTCCTCCTGTAGTGTCATAATGGCTCAATTTTTTTTTTTTTTTTTTTTTTTGTGCAAACAGCCATCAGTGCAGGGATTCACTGCCTGCAGCTCTGAAGAACCAGGAATTAAAGCAAGGAATTAATGCAAGGACTCTCCCACCCAGTTATCCAACCTTTCTGCAGCTCTGAGTGCTTGTTTTCTTGGCCCTTACAACTCACCTTTTTTGCTAGAAAGGTGGTTGAGCTTTCAAAAGCCACTTTATTCTAAATACACTACCTAAGACCTCTGGAAGAGGAGAAGACACGGAGAGAAGTGTCCTAGTTAAATTCTGCACCCCATTTGCGCAGCCTGAGCTGGTCACTGACACAGGATTTACCCCTCTGAGTTCTGATGTTGTCTTCTCTGATACCATGGAATGGTTTGGCTTGGAAGGGACCTTAAAGCCCACCCAGTGCCACCCCCTGCCATGAGCAGGGACATCTTCCACTAGTCCAGGTTGCTCCAAGCTCCATCCAACCTGGCCTGGGACACTTCCAGGGATCCAGGGGCAGCCACAGCTTCTCTGAGTAACCTGTGCCAGGGCCTGCCCACCCTCACAGCCAACAATCTCTTGCAAACATCTAACCTAAATTTCTTCTCTCTTAGTTTAAAACCATTCCCCCTAGTCCTGTTACCATCTGTCCATGTTAAAAGCCATTCTCCCTCATTTTTACAAGGCCCTTTAGGCACTGGAAGGTTGCAATAAGGTCTTCCTGGAGCCTCCTCTCCTCCAGGTTGAACAGCTCCATCTGCCTCAGACTCTGTCCCATCCCCTGCTCTCCAGGGGGCAGGGGGCGAAACCGCAATAAAAACTCCCACTTCAAAAACAAACAAACAAACAAACACACAAACTAACCCTGAAAAGGCATTTGCGTGCTGTGTGGTTTGGTTTTGATTAGAAACCCTCAGAAAAACAGCCTTCGAGCCCCATCGCAGTCGTCACATCGTCCTACTAACCCAGTCCTGATGATCCAGGGCAGTTGGTGGTGGGTGTGTTCTGGCAGGCAGGGTTCCCTCGGCATCCCCTGACAGAGATGTTTTGTTTTTCATCCTTTGTGACCAGGTTGGAGTGGGTTTGAATGTTTACTCTGACTCACATCTCCCAAGGCTGAGCAAAGGCAGCTGCAGTGAAGGACCTTCAGCTCTCCCTCCTCAAAAATCCCTGCGTGGCATTTGTGTGGAATCTCACACAGGCATGTCCTGCCTCAGCACTGCCATTCCCAGGCACTTGTAGCTGTGCAGTCAGGTGGGTTTCAAAAATATTTGCTGTTCATAAGGCTTTTGAGAGAGTTTTTGGTCTGTCAGAGCCAATTCAGCTCTTGTTAGAAAAAGTGGATTAAAAACCCAAGAACTGCCCTGCACACTGGTGCTCAGACACCCACATCCCTGCAGGGCTGCACTCAGAACTCCTGGGTTTGGCAGTTAACACCACTGACTCAGATCTGAATTTGGGGAAGACAATTGGAGTTTGAAGTTAATTTCTAGAAAATGAAACCCGTGCCCAGAAGACGCTCTTTTGTCACGTAGAAAACATGGCTGAATCTTGATTTACTCCGATGTATCTCTGGCCATTTAAATGTTAGACTCCTAAAGAACAGCTTAGAAATGGGATTTGTAAATTAGAAATTAATTTTGTGTGCAACTTAAGAAGGTATTCAGGAATTATTTAAATTAAAAATGCAAATCATCATCAACATGGTAGAATTAGAATAATGCTGTAACAACTGTAACTAAATATAGCCATCTACTGAAAGAGTAAATAACATACTTTGTTATACATAATAATGCATATTCATGTGACTTAAATACTTAGTGCTATTTTCTGTCTCAGTTATTGGGAGTTTGTTTGCCTGTACCCACATCTTTGTAATGAGGAAGGGATGATAGGCCTTGATGTTTCATAATTTCATCTGTAGACTGGGGAGTGGTAGGAAAAGGATCCAAGAGTTCTCTCACCCCTTCAGTCAGAAGGAGAAGAAACAGGAAGGAAAGGATGACACTCAAAGGCAAATATAGCTGAGAACCATCTACAGAGCTCTGTCTGCACACACGTGTGCATCTTACAAAAGCTTAAGGGGGTTTGGCCTGGGAACTCCTCAAGAAATAAAGTTTCTGGTTAAATAAAATACCTCAGCTACTGCCTTAGCGCTCGTGGAAAAATCTCTTCCTGTCTGGATCACCAAATGGACCATTAGGGTTTTATCAGGTCATTTTTCCCAAACTTCAGCAGATGCTGATGGAGATGCACAGGTTCCAAACCGATATAAATTCATGCCAGGCCAGATGTGGTGTCATTGCCATGGTTCAGGTGAATAACAGGGAACATTAATTCCATACAAACCACCTGTTTCAGGATTTCATTGTTTTCTTCACTGAGGAGGCAGGAGAAGAAAGTTAATATATTTTGTGCTTTTTTTTTTTTCCTTCCCCTTGGCTTCCATAATCTTAAATGCTGGGAAAGTTCCATCCCCAGAGTGGGGGGCAGGGGGGGATGTTTGCAAGTCTGATGCAAAATTTCCAAGTTTCTTTCTCGCATCAGCCATTTAAGACTTGTTTAGGTTCATTGAGTCATCGTTTAAGCTAATCCACCTTAAGGTGGGATTCACTGTTGGTTTTGTCCTCTTGCACTTCTCCCAGGATTCCCAGTGCCCTCCAACTCTGACCTCACTGCTGCACACCACTTTTTGCAAGCCATTAAAATGTCTTTCCAGCCAACTGGACTGTCATTGTTCCATGCAGGCAACGAAGTATTAATACAAAACAAAAGGAGGAAAAGCAAGACTGGGTGCTGTCTCTCATTCAAAGGAGAACCTTTGGTTTTTTTGGAAGCTTCTGGCCGAAAGCTGATGAAAATTTAGAAATGCACTTCATAGAGTCAGAAAATAATTTAGGTTGGAAAGGTTTATGTCACAAGAGAAAATTTTCACACGAATTAAAAGCACTGAGAAATGTCACTTTCCAGGTATTTTGTGCCAGTAAATATATATATATATATATATATATATATATATATATATATATATATATATATAACCTTTTTCCCCAAGTTCTCATTTCCAAATGCCCTCGAGGAGCGTATTTCTGTGTTTGTGAATAAAGGCTTGGGATCACAACCAACCTCGTGCAAGAGCTCCCTTTATGCTCAAAAAGGGATCTCCATGAAAGCCAAATGGCCACAGAGGCACACAAATCTTACCACGTCCTCATTCATTTGCCAAGTTTTCCTTTCTGTCCACGAATACAGATGATTGGGGATTCATTAACTAAAAGTACTGTGCACTGTCAGTTTGGTCTCCTGCTTTTAACAAGCTGCACAAGTGACAAAGCTTTCACAATAAAACAACTTGTAATTAAAGGGAAAGTACTAATACATTACTGAAAGGGAGAAAAAAAAATCTAATTACATGTTAATAAAGTGTGGACAAGCATCTGTGGGAATCCCCATTCAATCTAGCCACAAAAATGAGAACTAACACATACAGGAAAGTGTGGGTTTATTAGCCACCTCCTGAAAGCTTTCTTAGAAATTACTAATTCCCTGTAATTATTGTAATGGAACCAATTTTTTTGAAGCACTCAGCACCCACCCAACGATAATGGAAGGCAGCAGGTGTGCCTCAAATCGTGTCTGAAATTTGAGGCTGGGGACCTAAATCAAACCCCATCCATGTTTACAGAAAAACTCCCTTCCACTCCATCAGGGTGGGCAGAGCCCAGCAGCCAACTCTGTCTGCCCACGAGGGAGAATTCGGGCGAGCCTGTGGCAGCTCCTGATTGTAGAGAGTCCCAGAGGGGTGGTCTGAAGCAGCGTGAGGAAAGGGTCCCTCAGCCTCCCTGCAGCACATCCTGAGGCTCTGGGGAGAATATTGGGTGTCTAAGCCTCCAATTTTCAAATGTCTTCAAAAAAAAAAAAAAAATACCCTTGTGGTTTTAGTTTTTACTCAGGCCCAGACCTCCTAAAAGGTGTCACCTCTGGTAGCTCTTTTGTGATAGGTGTGATACTGGTGCTTTGATTTTTAAGATCAGCTATTCTCACATTAGACTGTTTTGCTGGAGTTGTTAGATCCAATTTCACCTTGAAAATTAATTTCACTGTATGGCTGAGGTACTGCAAGTTACATGAGTTAATAATTAGCAGATAGCCAGTAATACTGAAAAGGAACTTTTACTACTGCATAATCCTTGCAGTGGGATACAGGCTGCAGCCAAAGCTTTAATTATTGTATTTTAAGAAACATTTCCTTTCTTTTCAGCAGTTAAGTTTTTCTATCCAAATGTGTCATATACTCAAGAGAACACACAGAAGGTATATTTACATGCAAAAACATTCAAAGTAAATAAAAGAAATTCTGGGATTTTTACTACAAACTGCTGGTCAACGGATGTAATTTGTTCTTAAAATTCTAATGGGAATGTATTTGTTGCAGAGGTACCAGCTCCCAAAATAATGACAGGACTTAGCCCTTTGTTTTGTTTTTTTTTTTTAAATAACTACAACAAGACAGAAATCCACCTTGTTTCTAGGATGGTCACATCCAAAAGAGGCCTCTGTGAGCCATTTTGGTCGTTACAGGTCTCAGCTATCAGCCAGACCAGGAGGGGCTGTCATTTCCTTCACAAATGGTTTTGATTCAGTCATGAAATGTATTAAAGAAAACCATTCCTCAGGTGAATACAGGGATTTCAACAAGCCTGTCCTGCTGGGAGGGCACTCAATCACCAGCATTATCTTTAATATAATCATCCCACCGTGGGATGGAGCTGCGTTTCTGAAATGTCAGTTCGTTCTGTGATGCCTGGGTGGGTAATCACAGGCACTAATTACCTCTCATTCGGAACAATTTACGCTCTCCTTTGAACATTAGGCCTCTTCACTGGATTTCTTCAATCCGTTTGGTGACTGGATCCCAATTATCCATCAGGCCACCCTTTCCAAATTAGTCTGTGGGGCCTGAGACTCCATTAAGATAATGGGAATCACATGGCAAAGCCTCATCAGCCCATTTAGAAAATTCAGTGCCACTGGTTAAGT